CCTTTCCCTGTCCTCCCTCCCTCCACTTTTGTTTGCTTAGCCAGGGAATATCTTCCAAATGAATTTCATTTGTCAATAAAATGAACTATGCATCCTGACTGCTTTTGACTTTCTTTTGCAGACAAACTCTATCCCTTTATGTTTATTAGACTGCTATGTCACAAAAAATGAGACAACGGCAAAAGTTTTTGTAAAACTCTTATTGGCACCGTGTAGCCCATAGGACGAGGGGGCAATTATTTTTTGTGTGATTCTTTTATTTAAATTTCCCAAAAAGGTGCGTTTAAAGCACAAAACCTAAACAGGGTTTGTGTTTCATAACAGATTTGCTCAGATATCAGCAAATCACCCCAACATTCCCAGGTTCTCCCTTATCATAGGTTGGGGGTGGGGTTGAGGTTTCCTGTGGGCGAGGGAATGGCTCATAATGCGCAAGACTCAATCACGCATGTGGGCAGGACCACAACTTTCTATATTTATTCTATAAGTTTTTGAATTGGTAGGCAGTTTCTTTGGGGCGTGTAGCTGTATTAAACCTAGAGATGTCCCTGAAAGAAATCGGTTTTGTTTCACACTTTGGTTTGTTCTAGTGTATCTTGTTTCATACTCCATACAGAATTTTTGATATGTGTGTGTTTTGTGTCATGCTTGGAACCCTCAAATCGACATTTTGAGGTCGGAATATTTCAAGGAAGAAATGTTTTGCATGTCCCTCACTCAAAGCCATCCATCTCAAAGCAGCCACATTTTGCTTCAGATTCAGAACACTCTTCAAACACATGTATTTTGTTTCACCCTCAGAATACTCAAAATAGCCATTTTAGGCTTGGAATGTGTCATGGCAGAAACATTTTGCACATCCCTAGATATTGATTGATTGATTGATTGATTGATTGATTGATAACATTTATATGGCCACCCAATTCAACCAAGGTAACTCTGGGGGGCTTACCAGAATTCAACAAAAACTAGCAAACAGAAATAAATAAAAGCATGGTACACAAACCTGCAGACGGTATAACAATAAAACAAAAATAACACCATCATCTAATTGGGGCTCCAACACATCATGGCTCAAAGGCCAAGGGAAACAGCCAGTTCTTGACAGCCTTTCTAAAGACCCACAGGGATGGGGCCAACTTAAATTGGGAAGAAGGCTGTTCCATAAATAGGGGCTGCCACTGAGAAGGCCCACCTCCTGGCTCCCAGTCAAGGGACTCAGACTGGGCCCTCCCTATCACAGTGTGTGGGTGGGCAGATACCCTGTTATCAGCCCTTCAGGATAGACTAAATCAGGAAACAGACTCCACAGGAAGACTAGGAGTATACTTTATTGAGACAAGCAACAGTAACAGAATCTTGCAATCCTGATTGTGCTTTACTCCCCTCCCTCTTTTATCCAATGAATTAGGGAGAAGCATGCCTGGGTCTCTCCTGAATACTTGTTGTCCTCAGTTAACGACTATAATTGGGACTGGGAACTCCATCACTAAGTGATGTGGCCATAAAGCGAAAAATCACCAATGATGGCAGTTCTGGCAATTCCAGCTGCAGTCGTTAAGCAAATCCCACATGGTCGTTAAACACAATGTCATGTGACCCCAACTTTTGACTTCCTGCAAGCTTTGTCATTGATTTTGCTTGTTGGAAGCTGGCAGCGAAGATCGCAAATCGCGATCATGTGATTGTGGGATGCTGCGACCATCATTATTGTGCACTGGTTGCCAAGTGCCCAAATCATGATCATGTGACCACAGGGATGCTGCAACAGCTGTAACTTCAGGGACCCATTGTAAGTCTCCTCACTTAGCACCATTGTAACTTCGAACAGTCACTGAAAGAATGGTTGCTAAGTGAGCACTACCTGTACTATCTTGTTTCCCAGAACTTAAGGCATGTTTCAGCCCACTTTGTTTATATAATAGCAATTTCCCTGATTCTCTACAACTGAGGAGAAGGCAGTCCCTCAGGTGACTCAATCCTATGCCAAGAATTGCTTTAAAGGTGACAATCAGCACCTTGAAGCCAACTGAGAGCCCATGCAGCTTGCAGAGCAGTGGTATCACCTGGGCATATCGAGAAGCCCCCATAATTTCCCACGCTGCTGCATTCTGGACCAATTATAGCTTCTGGGTGGTCTTCAAAGGCCAGTTAGATTATTGCAATAATCTAATTGGGAGGTGACTAAGACATGAGTGATCGTGAGTAAGGCCTCCTGATCCAGGAAAGGGCAGAATAGACGCATAAGATGTTGTGCAAAGACCCCTGGCCTATGAGCGCAGGAAGACCCCCAAATTGCATACTGACTCTGAATGGGTAGTGCCACCCCATTCAGAGTCAAGGATGGAAACTCTTCAATTCTGGGACCCAAGGAACCCAAAACCCATGGCAGGGTTGAGCCGAAGCCTGTTCTTCCCATCCAGGCCCCACAGCCTCCAGGCACTGGGAAAGAACCTTGACAGCTTCACCAGGATGGCTGAGGGCAGAGATGCTCACTTAGCATACTGATGATACCTCACTGTGGAAGGACAGGCTACTCAAGGGGATTGCAAACACCTGTGCTCCTTCTAGCCCCTCCCATTTGAGCCTTTCCCCAGGGTCACCACGGCTCAGCTGCCAATAAAACAGAGGCATTCCCCCCCCCAACCGGTCTGAGATGTGAAGTCGGGCAATCAATCAAAACTAATCGACAGTCCAAGACCAGACAGAAGGGAAGCAAAAGCTTATCTTCCCCAGGCACAGAAGGTGCTTTCCCACAGTGGGACCCAGCAGTCCAGAAAACAAACTTATTCCAACCAGGAAACATCCAAACCAAAAAGATGTGAGAACTCCATTGGCTGGCCCTTGAAAGCTACAACAGAGCAGAAAAAGGTTTTCAAACTGGGTACACAAGCAGGTGTTTGAGCATAGGCCCAGATGCAGCAGTGACCGCAGGGGAGATGGTGGGCACAGCCTCGTGATCCAAACCCTGGCCCTCTGGGATAGTGTTTCTCAACCTTGGGAATGTGAAGATGTGTGGACTTCAACTCCCAGAATTCCCCAACCAGCTGCTCTGGTATTTGTGTGGTCAATGCATATATAAAAAAAGGTGGAGCAAATGTATCTTCCCCCTCACCCCTCCATACACACACATGCATTCAATCCAGAACAATTCACAATTCCATTCTATTCATCAGAACTTCCACAGTTGGCTCATCTGATAAATGGCCATATTGCTTCCTTTAGATCAGTGTTTCTCAACCTTAGCTACTTTAAGCTATGTGCACTTCCACACCCCGGAATCCCCCGCCCCTGCAGCACACCGGAGGGGTTTCCTGTGTAGGGCTC